TGATTATGGGGTTACATAGATATAGAATTACGAAAACAAAGCAACATGTATCATGAGGAGCCGCGATGGCTCAGTGAATAAGACGCTTGCAGGGTTCAATGCCGGTCAATGAATAAAACCATTACAATTAGAATACTGAAAGGTTTTCAACTTTAAAGAATAAAAAACCTAATTATATTGTGAACAGTGGGTCAATGTGATATCAAGTCCTATGATAATTTATAACATGCAATTTATTATTTTATGATGTTTGTATTGTACTTTAAAAATCTCTGAGTTGAAATTTAAACACGACAACCTTTGATGACAAAAACTGTAGATCATTCGTTGACAATGATCTAATTTCGATCCTGACTGTGTTTTGGGTATAATTGATTACCGATGGAGTTTTCCGCAAGTGATACTACAGTTTCGTTTCTTTTACAATTTTCCCATTCTGGGACAGGTGCGCCATTTTTTTTAAACCAATCATACACTTAGTTTCAGAAACGGGAAATTTTAAGCTAAGCTTAATTGGCCTTCAAATACACGTATTACTTCTACAATTTTTATTCGATGACTTTCATATTTTCAAGGCTGAAGATCGAAATCTTGAAGTATATCTGTGAGAATTTTGAAAGAGATCAGTTTAGCAACAGCTGAGATACTTACCGTCAAACTGTGGGACGTTTTTTTGGGACACCCGATATAATAATCATGGTGATCATACAATTGCAGTAGTCTTCTGTGCCATAATCATCAGAAACAATACAATTATCACAGTTACAATACAATGACCATAGTTACAATACCATTATCATAGTTACAATACAATTATCATAGTTACAATACAATTATCATAGTTACAATACAATTATCATAGTTACAACACAATTATCATAGCTACAATACCATTATCATAGTTACAATACCATTATCATAGTTACAATACAATTATCATAGTTACAATACAATTATCACAGTTACAATACAATTATCACAGTTACAATACAATTATCACAGTTACAATGCAATTATCATAGTTACAATACCATTATCATAGTTACAATACAATTATCAGAATGACAAAGCCATACCCTATGGATTAGCAATAAGACTGAGAAGAATTTGCAAAAACAACGTATACGAAAGACCTACCAAACCTGCACAACATAGTAAGGAATAATATGAAGGTACTTCACCAATCGGAAAGGATGCCAATAATTTTTAGAGAACCACCGATAATTGCATATAGAAGAGATGATTGGAGCTTAGAGAACCTTTAAGCTTGACCACAATTCTCATGGGTGCAAGACGAGAAATGTGGTGTATACACTAAGCTGCGATATATGCAGAAAACCCGTATATGTAGGAGAAACAAGAAGAACTCTGGGATAATTTACAATACAATTATCATAGTTACAACACAATTATCATAGTTACAATACAATTATCATAGTTAAAATACAATTATCACAGTTACAGTACGATTATCATAGTTACAATACAATTATCATAGTTACAACACAATTATCACAGTTACAATACCATTATCATATTTACAATACAATTATCATATTTACCATACAATTATCATTGTTTTCCATGCAATAATCAGTTCAAATTAAGATCCCCTGGATTAACAACCAAACCAAACTAAATCAAGAACCATAACTCACGTATTGATATTTCTGGATTTTGATACTCTTCGTTTCTGATGGTAGATTATCTGATCAAATTAGATTCTACATTTAGAACACTGTATCTGGGGTATTAGTTCTTCCAGTTGGAGGTGGTGGGGATGGTGGGATTGAAATCACCTCTAGAGGTATAATTAACAAAATAAGATTCAAATACGTCGTAACATATTTTTATACGCTCACATGAACTGTGGAGCGTACATTGCCGTCACCCATGTCCGTCGATCAGTCTGTCCACAATTGCTCGTAAACACTCTACTCTACTCCACAATTCTAGACGGATTTTGACGAAACTTGCTGAAAGCGTTTATTATCACCCAAGGATGAACCCTATTGAAAAACGATAAAATCGAAAAATATTTAATATGAGTTATTGCCCTTGTTCTTCAAAACGCATTCGATGTTTAGCTCGTAAACACTCTGCAAGTCACAATTCTTTACGGATTTTGACAAAACTTGCTGAAATTGTTTATTATCACCCAAGGATGAACCCTATAGAAAATCGATAAAATCGAAAATTTTGACAAAACTTGCTGAAATTGTTTGATGAAACTTGGTGTGAGTGTTCGTAATCACCCAAGGATGAACTCTGTTGAGTATCAGAAGAATCGAAAAATATTGACTATGAGTTATTGTCCTTGTTCTTGAAAACACGATCAATTTTTAGCTCGTGAACACTCTAGAAGGCACAATTCTTGACGTATTTTGACAAAACTTGGCATGAGTGTTTGTTATCACCCAAGTATAAACCCTATTGAAAATCAGAAATAATTGAAAATTGCGCCTAAAACGTACCAAAAGAAGTTTCAATTATTATTTCAATGCAATTACTTTTTGTTAACCTCAGGTAGTTGTTATACACATAAAAATATCGCTCTACATTCGTCAATGGAATTTGGTCAAGGTCGTTTTTTGTAGGTTCAATTTGATATTCAGATAGATTAATGAATGAAATGACTCCTACGAATAGCTATCTGTGTGGGACATGTGTCAGTTACATAAGGTAAAGGTAATATCTTCACAATGTTCAGCTATTACGAACTTATTTATACCCAAACTGCAATACCTATTATTCTTGCAAGAATGCAGCGATTTTAATGGATTCAACGCAAGTGATTACAGCCAATCAGAGCCTTCAACAGAAAGGCTGTATTCATTATGACTTCATGTGCACACACGTTTTGTCGAAGCTTCTGATTGGCTGTATTCGCTAGCGTACTGTCCAATCAAATTGCTTTATATACTAACTTCCACGAAACAAGATACGTGATTATTGTAGTAGGTATAATTAACGAAGGTCGTACTAGTCAACAAGTGTGCAGTCAAGATTTCGTGCTAATCTATTTTTCTTTCATCTCCGGAAATGATTAAGAATTTACGTGCGTGACCTCGTGTGACCTCCGCATAATTATGCTTGTTTTGATAAATATGGTTTGTCTCTACAAATGTCAGCCAGTAGAATGAATCCGGTAATTTCAAGCAAGGTGAAATGTATCATGTATACTTTGACAAATACAAAATGGCGGATTTTTTTTATTGCCAAATATTACAACTTTATATCGGCCGAATTTCCTGAAAATTCTTAACTGTAATCGGAATTTCGAGTGTCGCCTGCTGGAATATATTTCAGTGACAAACTAGCGGATTCCGTGTCAGGAATTGTCATTAGTAATAATGAATTAATATTATAAAGATAAATACTAAGCAATGATAATTATACCACTGGGTATCCATACGTGTTTTTCTCGACTTATTTATAAATCAAACATTGTACACGAAAATAGGTGACGCATTTTGCTGCCGTTGTCGAGTTGGTTGCTCATGAAATATGGGTCAAAGTGAAGGATTCATAAAGAAAATCGAAACAGACCAATTTTAATTATTTTAAAGAATATCTGAGGATACATCTAAGCCACAAAAATTTTTATCCGCTTTTTATATTGAGGAAATTCGGTGTTGAATCCTTATATCCACGAAAATAGGTTACATCATCAGTTGGACGTACCAGATGCCACGACTAAAGAATAGAATCTTTATTTTGTTGTATAGTTTTGTTTGACACCAGATAATTCAACAAAGACCCATTTCAACCGAGTTTAAACATTTCAATTTTTTGATAATCCTTACAGGTAGTATACCTTTAAGTAGGTCACAAGGTTAAACACCTTTATAGAAATCTGGATCAAACAATTCAGCTAGAGTTAATCTGTTATATTGAATGAAATGACTCCTACAGAAAGCTATCTGTGTCAAGCATGTGTTAGAAATGCAAGTCATGTAGGTTAAGGTAAGAAAAATGTACAGAATTGGAGAGAAAGTTTAGTAGGTGACGAGGTCTTACATAAAATATCTTTATAGAAATCGGGATCAAACCTATTAATCCTGAAACACACACAAAAAAAATCTGATTTCGTTTATCTAAAAAGAAATAATTGCGATGACCTATATAGTTAACATTATGCCTCATAAGGGGCAGGTTTGCTACCCGTTTGACCAATCATACTTTGTTTAGAGTTCACAGTTCACCGTCGAAATTTGAGCTTTCAAATCCATGTGTATCCATGATTATCCGCGTTTGAAAGATAAACTCGTGTTTATCCGCGTTTGAAAGAACAACTCGTGTTTTCGTGTCTTCAGCCCTTGCCATATATAGAAAAGACATAATATTATATAAATTATATGGAAATAGAAAGTGAAATTCCTATTTGAGATATTTTGGAAGGAATTGTGCGATTGTCGTACGTTTCAAGTACTTCTGAAGACTATTTACATCTATTTAAGACTCAAATTAACCCCCACCCCCAAATGGCGAACCTGTACCTTTAATTATTGAATTTGTCGATTAACAATTACGAAATATTGAAGGTTGAAAATGCTGCATCTGAACCCACGCCACGTTCCATGTAAGTGGATGAACAGCCCAAACGCTTTGCAATTATAGAAATGTAGGAACCAAAGGCAACAAGAACTCTTAGACAAAAATATATATTACACGTTGACTACAGGATATAATATCCATATTATGGAGTGTTAAATATCTTTTTATAATGTGCTCTTGCTACTTTCTAAAATTTCGATTATCAAGTCCAAGGGTGGCATTGCTCTGTAAATATATATAGTCTGTAGGACTTCGTAAATGAAATGAAATGAATGGAGTTTTACGTCCTACTTTTCTGCACCATTGTAGGACTTCGTAACCATGGGCTGAATGTTATACAGGACCATGTCACAAGACCATATCATGGACCCAATAATGATCCATTTTCAATGAAGGGTTCCTCATACTATTATGAACCATGCTTGTGACAACTCCATTTTTTCTATTTTTCAGTGTTTCAAGATGTCCATGTTATGATGTTCATTGGTTTTGGATTCTTAATGACCTTCCTGAAGCGTTATGGATTTAGTGCTGTTGGTATAAATATGTTGGTGGCAGCTTTTTGTCTACAATGGGCCACCATAGTTCGTGGTATTATCCATGGTGATGTGTTAAGTGGTGGAACATTTAAAGTCCATGTTGGCGAGTAAGTTACTTAAATATAGGGTGGGGTGCTTTGAAGTCTCTCTGATCTGGAGGTGTATAGGGTGGGATGATTTGAAGTCTCTCTGATCTGGAGGTGTATAGGGTGGGATGATTTGAAGTCTCTCTGATCTGGAGGTGTATAGGGTGGGATGATTTGAAGTCTCTCTGATCTGGAGGTGTATAGGGTGGGATGGTTTGTAGTCTCTCTGATCTGGAGGTGTATAGGATGGGATGATTTGTAGTCTCTCTGATCTGGAAGTGTATAGGATGGGACGATTTAGAGTCTCTCTGATCTGGAGGTGTATAGGGTGGGATGATTTGAAGTCTCTCTGATCTGGAGGTGTATAGGGTGGGATGATTTGAAGTCTCTCTGATCTGGAGGTGTATAGGGTGGGATGATTTGAAGTCTCTCTGATCTGGAGGTGTATAGGATGGGATGGTTTGTAGTCTCTCTGATCTGGTGATGTATAGGGTGGGATGATTTGAAGTCTCTCTGATCTGGAGGTGTATAGGGTGGGATGATTTGTAGCCCCTCTGATCTGGAAGTGTATAGGGTGGGACGATTTAGAGTCTCTCTGATCTGGTGATGTATAGGGTGGGATGATTTGAAATCTCTCTGATCTGGAGATGTATAGGGTGGGATGATTTGAAATCTCTCTGATCTGGAGATGTATAGGGTGGGATGATTTGAAGTCTCTCTGATCTGGAGATGTATAGGGTGGGATGATTTGTAGTCTCTCTGATCTGGAGGTGTATAGGGTGGGATGATTTGAAGTCTTTCTGATCTGAAGATGTATAGGGTGGGATGATTTGAAGTCTCTCTGATCTGGAGGTGTATAGGGTGGAATGATTTGAAGTCTCTCTGATCTGGAGATGTATAGGGTGGGATGATTTGAAGTCTCTCTGATCTGGAGATGTATAGGGTGGGATGATTTGAAGTCTCTCTGATCTGGAGATGTATAGGGTGGAAAACTCGTTATAATTTCGTAGTTTCTTCCTTTGCTCAACAAGAATGTCGCCATTTCTTATAAAATTTGTGTTTTTCATTATCAAGCATAGAACAAAACATTTGTCGTTATTCCAGCCCCTGATAGCTATTTGGACAGATGTCAGGTGGTGTAGAGACAGAAAAATAGGCCCTGTTAAATGGGATTTTAAACCTATTTAGATACCTTTAATCATCCTAAAGCTAATTCAATATTATGTTAGAGAAAACGCGTCTTTGGAGGTGTGAAAAATCCCATTTAACAGTGTATTTTTCCTGACTCTTTCCAGTACAACTTTCAAAATATCCACCAGAGGCTGGAATAGAGGCAGATGTTTCGGTATATATCAAGCGATGACATCTACTGCATCTCACTATTAACAGTTTATTCAGTATATTTATATTAGGCCATTATTGTGTCACCAGTTCGACTTGATTTAAAGTAGAAATGTCGTCAGATTTGAGAGCGATTGAATTTCTTAAATTTATTATTATAATTTCAACTCACTGAAAATCAATCTAGACTGATATTATAGTCATATGAAACTAGACACGTAGATTACCAGAATCAGATTTCTATGTAAGAAGACACATGGTTTTAAATGATATTCTGGTCTGTGAATTTAATGTTCTTGAGCTTTCAGATTTGGTCTTATCGATAATGATAGAAATCTTATTCTTAACAAACACTCACACCAAATTTTATCCAAATCCGTTAAAAATTGAAAGCGTTTACAAGAACAAGGGCAATAACTCATACTAAATATTTTTCGATTTTTCGGATTATTTATAGATGATTACAAACACTCACACCAGGTTTCGTAAAAATCCGTCAAGAATTGTGCGTTCGAGAGTGTTTACAAGGCAAAAATTGAACATATTTTCAAGAACAAGGGCAATAACTCATACTAAATATTTCGATTTTTCTGATTTGTAAGAGGGTTTATGGTTGGGTGTAACAAACACTAACACCAAGTTTCGTCAAAATCCGCTAAGAATTGTGCGTTCTAGAGTGTTTACAAGCCAAAAATTGAACATATTTTCAAGAACAAGGGCAATAACTCATACTAAATATTTTTCTATCTTTAGGATTTATCCGTAGATGCTTACAAACACTCGCACCAAGTTCCGTCAAAATCCGTCAAGAATTGTACCTTCTTGAGTGTTTACGATTGTTGACCGACCGACTGACATGGGTGAAGTCAATATACGCCTCCCCCAATGTGGGCGTATAAAAAGAAGTGGCTGACCAAATTTCTCTCATTGGCCTAATGATGTGCACAAACGTAAAGTGTAAAACTCAAATTTCTTTTATTTCAGAATGTTATCTGCTGATTTTGCTGCTGCCACTGTTTTGATTTCGTTTGGTGCTGTCCTGGGTAAAACATCACCTCTACAACTTCTGGTCATGGCATTGATAGAAATTCTTCTGGCTCAGATAAATGAGTATGTTGGTGTCGATATTTTTCATGTAAGGCATCTTTCTCTTAAAGATTAATGGTTGATAGTGGTCGTTTAACATCTTGATAGTGGTCGTTTCATCATCGGCCTTGGCCGCCTGCCCATCTTGCTCCAATGGAAACAATAAATAAACCAAGTTATAATGATCCGAACCGCAAAACGGAAACACAAAATCCAAACAATATACTGGCGAAACATTGGTAGAAGCTTATGGACAATTAATCTCTAGAGGAGATCAATGGCAAAGTTTTGAGTAAGAACAGCAGATGAGAGTGAATGTTGCTTTACTTTCGAATCCAAAGTACAGTTCGGTTAGATTTGGCACAGAAGTCGATGCATATAAAGAACGCAAAAATAAGATTTTCGCCTTAATCTGTTGCGCGATCTAATCCTTATTGTTGTTATTCTTCATTGAAACGATATTAAATTAGCACCACGATGAAATGTATTAATGCAAAAGAACCTTTAGCAAGAAATACTCAAGCGAAAACTGTGAGTATCATGATTACTTAATAAGTGTATAATATATTACCTATATTGAAGGCTGTTGATATTGGAGAATCTATGTATGTACATGCTTTTGGTGCTTACTTTGGTTTAGCTGTTGCTAGAGTGTTGTATCACGAAGAAGTTGAACATTCTAGCAAGGAAGGATCGGTATACCATTCTGATTTATTCTCGATGATAGGTGAGTGATCTTTGAAGATCCCTTGAATTAACTGGTCATATGGATCGCTGTTTGAATAAGTGGACGATTTCCAAAGGAACAACTCGAACCCACAGCACCAAGTAGACAACTACCCAATTGGCTACCAATAATTCAATTTAGTATATTCATGAATAATTGGGCAAATTTGTGTTTTTCATCAGGTACTGTGTTCTTGTGGTTATACTGGCCTAGTTTTAATGGTGGTGCTGCTGAAGGTGATGAACAACATAGAGCTGTACTTAATACTTACTTCTCATTAGCTGCATGTTGTATTGTAACGTTTGCTATCTCTGCTCTTACTGATAGTAAGGGTAAATTTGACATGGTAAGTACCTTTATTGCTATCTTCCTCATCATATGCATCAAACTTAAAAGACGCTTCAGGACTCGGAAAATATCTAGATGTATTGCAGATTTGGCCTAAAGCGAAATCTCCCTTTTATCAGTTATACTGGAAACTCATAACAGCTTTAGATTAAGGTAAGGGTAACCTGAAATTCAGTGAGTCCTAGACCAGTATTTGTGGTATGTGGTAAATGTAATCCCCGACATGTATGTATAGTTGTTCTTCTTCTTACCAGGTTCATGTACAGAATGCTACCCTGGCAGGCGGTGTTGCTGTGGGTACCTGTGCCAATATGCCAATGGAACCATGGGGTGCTTTAGTACTTGGTACAGTAGCTGCTATCATCTCTGTTCTCGGTTACAAATATATTACAGTAAGTATTTTTGGACCGTGTGGTGCTTCTACTTATGCGGTGTTGGAAAAAGAATTAGAAAGACGCAACGGGCATGTTTCAATGGCGGTAGTATACTGCTCACGATAGAAGTCCTGAGATTCCTGTCGAAAGTTTAAAGAAAACCTGTAAAGGCATAACCAAATACATATCTATCCACAGAAAAATATCGACAGAGAAAAATTGGGCAAGAAAAATTACATAAACCAGCATCCCGTCCAGCTCTACGACACACCCCTCAAAATCTAACATGGATTCTCACGCTGCTGAAAACTGTACATAGCCAAGAAAAAACCTTCTATATATTGGGTTTCATAAGCAATATTAGTTTGAGAATCGTAACTTTTCATTTTCAATTTCTAGCCATTTTTGTCAAGCAAAGTTAAATTACATGATACTTGCGGTGTTAACAACCTCCATGGTATGCCTGGATTATTGGCGGGAATTGCTGGTGCTGTAATGGCTGCTATGGCAACACAAGAAAAATATGGCGAGAGGTTAGACTATATTAATATTTGAACATTAGTTTCCATTCAGTGTAAAATTTAGTTCTAAGCTACTTTCTTAGATTAGTTAATTGATTAATTTGAGGACATCTCAATATGTTTAAGCCATAACTTTCAGAAAGTAGGAAAATCGACCAACATGATTGTCGTGAATGTCAAACTGTGTCTGGTTGCCAAAGGAATATCTCTTGCATCCAGAGATGTTAAATGTGATCGAGACTACATATAGTTGAACGATAAAAAATATTAAGTGAATGTTACAACTGAAGTAAACTATAAGACCATCGCAGTGGTGTTTAAAACGTGATTATCAATGACAAATCTGTTTTTCAGTCTATATGAAGTCTTCCCAGCACTGGCACCTGAAGCTGGTCCAAATGATACAAGTGTGGCACATGGTTCTTATGGTTTGGGAAGAAACGCTAGTTCTCAAGGTGGCTATCAGGCAATAGCATTGGTAGTTACTCTAGGTGTGGCTATAGTCGGTGGGGTTATTACAGGTGGGTATTTACTCGAAGGCATTCAAAGGGTTTTTTGATATTTTTTTGTATAGCTGACACGTATATAGTTTCAATGGTTTTTTTTAACCTTTTTAAATAACTGTCTGTAGTTCTAATAACTCCATTAAAACTTGAACAGTAAAAGTTTATGGCGTAAAATTGAACAGAAAGTTGAACAATTTATGAAGTTAACTTGAATAGTTTATGACGTAAAATTGAACAGTTTATGACGTAGACTTGAACAGTTTATGACGTAATATTTGAAGTAAAATTTACTAACATTGAACAGTTTATGACGTAGACTTGAACAGTTTATGAAGTAAAATTTGAAGTAAAATTTATATTGAACAGTTTATGAAGTAAAATTTATATTGAACAGTTTGTGACGTAATATTTGAAGTAAAATTTACTAACATTGAACAGTTTATGACGTAGACTTGGACAGTTTATGAAGTAAAATTTGAAGTAAACTTTATATTGAACAGTTTATGACGTAATATTTGAAGTAAAATTTACTAACATTGAACAGTTTATCACGTAATATTTGAAGTAAAATTTACTAACATTGAACAGTTTATCACGTAATATTTGAAGTAAAATTTACTAACATTGAACAGTTTATGACGGAGACTTGAACAGTTTATGAAGTAATATTTGAAGTAAAATTTATATTGAACAGTTTATGACGTAATATTTGAAGTAAAATTTATATTGAACAGTTTATGACGTAATATTTGAAGTAAAATTTATATTGAACAGTTTATGAAATAATATTTGAAGTAAAATTTATATTGAACAGTTTATGACGTAATATTTGAAGTAAAATTTATATTGAACAGTTTATGAAGTAATATTTGAAGTAAAATTTACTAACATTGAACAGTTTATGACTAAACTTGAACAGTTTATGAAGTAAAATTTGAAGTAAAATTTACTGATATTGAACAGTTCATGAGAGGTCAACTGATTTTTTTTCTATTTTCAGGTTTTATCTTGAAGTTGCCTATCTGGGATAATGTCAAACAGAGAGATTCGTTCTTCGAAGATGATGAACAATGGGAAACTCCAAAGGAATACGAACTACCCACAATAGCTCGATATGAAAAGAATTCTAAAGAATTAGACACAAACATGTAAGACTTGGGTTTAAAACTGTGTCATTCCTGAACGTAGAGAATTCTGAAATTTTATGTCCATTTCATTAACTGGTTCATTCCATTTAATACAAGGTAAACACTGTCGTGTGATCCGTTTTCAATGCCATGATTTGCCATTCGTAGATGATCGGGGGATTTGTGATACGAATCAATACGTTTTGAAACGATTTATGGCTCTCGTTCACTATTTGTCGATTCTTGGCGTTCGTCAATAACAGATGAGTTTCGTTACGATAGAACACGATTGTGTACTCATCATCGAGGGTGATCCGACATGAGCTATGGCTCAATCCCGGCGGGTATATATCTCGACTGACTATGGTGTTCATTCTATCTTCAACTTTTAGGCGTAGCTAGGCATTCGGGTTCATCGTAGAAACCTTTTTTAACGGTTCAAAAAATTTTCTAAAATTTTTCTACGATCATTAACTAGGGTAAACTTATTATATTTATATATATATATATATATTCTAATATTGAGATTATTAATATACGTTACACGACATTTTGTATTTATCATAATATGCAACAAGTCTGCTTTTATGTTTAATTGCACTTGAGTAAAATGTATCAAGTCAAATGTGACATTGTTATAACATGCGAGAACTAATACTCACCATTACTATGTACCTAATTGACTTTTTAACACAATTTCCTATTGTTAAAATGCTTGTAAATATAACCATTGACGAGGTTATGCGACCATGTAATATATAGATGGGCACCTTGCAAATGGTACGGGTAGCTATAAGGTTTGAGTATTATCAACGAATAAACAAAATTAACCTGAAAACAGTAATTGTATAATACTAATAATAAAACGCTTTGATACCAAAAAATACTGTATATAAGATTACAACACTCTATACAAAATCATTCACCACCATCCCGTTTGGTAACTAAATCTATAGGGAATGTAAAAGGAGGTATAATTTGAAATTTTAAACGAAGTAAGAGTGGTTTAGTTCCATTTTTGTTATGTTTTTTGAATATTACTAGCATCGACAATTTATAAAAATGATGAAAATAAACTGTTCAAAAACAAAGAATTTTGTTTTTATTTCAGACACCTACTGAAGAAAGTTTAAGTAAATGGAAGGTTAGCATGTGGTCAAAAAACAATTCAATAAAAATGTGGTCACCCAAAAATCGTGGAAAATTGTTCTTAATAAATAGCAAAGTTATCAAAAACAACCTTTATATTTTTTTAAGTTTTATATACGTGGTGCTATTTAATTGTGATTTTCTAAAGTTCATAGGGTATTTTTCTATTTTTCATAAAGTATGATTGAGCATTATAACTTTATGCATGACATTGTGATTTTGTAGAATATGTAATATCTAAAATTAAAGTTTATTCTGGTCTAATGAATGCATTTGGTATCGTTAATAATATAGTCATAAAACTTCGCGATTTCTTCTTGATGAACCCAACGTCTACACTGATGACATTTCATTCCATGATCATACAAATTAGAAAATAATAAAGCAACGGTGTCCAGTGTGATGTACGGTGCGGGGTTATTGATACAGTAGAAAATAGTAGAAACGAATCCGTGTCCGCACAGTGTCCGGATCCGTACCTCGCGTGTTCACTTCTATTTTCGATAGTATCGATTATTCCGTACACTGTATACTTTGACTATTCGCGGCTTGAGTTTTTTTTAAACTGACTTAAAGAGAAAATCAATCGGGAATAGAAAAATATGTTGGATTACGCAGAATGTCGGATATCACGGAGAACACTGTATTTTGTATCATCAGATGAAAAATAATCAAACAATGAGTTAAACCCAAAGTCTGTTAAAGGTTGGTTTAGATCCCAAATTTATGTAAATAGTCTCCAGAATGTACGAAAATCACACAATTCCTTGAAAAAAATACTTCAAACTATGAATTTCACTTTCTTATTCAATATAATATATTCTATATCATAAGAAAAGACGAGTCGTCATTTTAACTTTCAAACACGGATAATTCTGAAAGCACTTGGATTAGAAGACGATGAACTATGAACACTATTAATGATTGATTTAGCAAAAAAAAAAACGTTTTTCTGAGACTAATGTAAGATTGCTAAAACAGATGGTGAAGATGTCCCGTTTAAAATCAAATAAAATGCATGAAAAACGCTGTATCGTAACACGCATTATGTACCCGAGAACATACATACACTCATCATTATCATTATATTCAATCTTAGTGATTAGATATACAGTTTAACGATCGTAGAATAAAGATAGGAACATTATAAAGAATATCTTCTTTTATTATTTAAAAGTAATAATATTATAATAATGCACTTCATATTTCATTATATTGAAATGAAATGTTAAAGGGATATGTAGGCCATATTTTTTGATCAATCATACTTTAGTCTCAGAAAGGAATATTTTTTAGCTAAGCCAATCAGTAATAGTATTCACAGTTCACCGACGAAATTTAATCCTTCAAATCCATGTGTGTCCAGAATTATCTGCAATTGAATGTTAAAATGACGACTCGCCAATTTAAGATACCCTGTGATATATAGAAAAACATATATAGAAATAGTGAGTAAAATTCGTAATTTGAAGTATTTTTAAGGAATTTCTAGTACTTCTGAAGATTATTTACATATATTATATTCAAGTCTAAAGTCAACCCAAAATGCCGCATCCGTCCCTTTAACATAATGTAAACCTGAAACATGTTCTTATAAAAGTATGACGCTGTGCGATCTTCAGACAACTATTTCATTATATTGTACTTTTTCTTTTATATAAGTACATAGTGAAAATTAAGATCATTTTATATTGTACCGTGTGTATAATGAATTATATCTTTTGTATTGTGAAGTTACATTTTTTTGTTGTTGTATCACGCGATTTTTTTCTATCATGAGATTTGAAGATGCCCAGGGCTTGGCATTGAATCATAGTATTGGAATTTCATCTCCTATTCAAAGGGAAATGTTTGTCTAAATATTGTCTGCATTTGCGTACAGACGGAAGTGACGACAGTATAATCATTAAGGCCGTTAGTGACATTTTCAGCTGCTGTATATTGCATATGAATATCTATTATGTTATGTGGACGGATACTTAGATTCTCATCTGTACATACGTTTTACTTCAATTGCAGACGGACCGGGCGTCAAATTTGTCATTTGAAAAGTGATATAGGCTTCCACAAATAGAGCTCTCTCATGTCAAAAAGCAAATTTTTCGACGACAATATCACTTAATTTTGTGCATTATGTCATATCTGTCACTTATGTCTAAAGCCAACTTATTGGAGGAGTTATGAAAGAAAGAAAGAAGTAGGTTCCACAAGAATATTAACTAAAGTTCAATAAGACCGTTTCTACCAGCTGTTCCGTGCCCAAATCTCAATGATGAATTATATAGTGAGCTGTTATAATTCAAATGCGCACCAATTGCATGTACAGTCTTATATTTTTTTAAAAGCGCAGGCGAAATTTAACTCTTTCAGCTGATACTTACGCGATTAAGTTATTTTCAGTTTTAAGTTGATGTTTGAATGAAAGAGCTCGTACACCGTCAAGAATGGTGTAGATTATCAGTGATATTAATTTACGTTAGTCAAGGTGTCCTAAAATTCCTGACCCATTTTTCTAGAAGATACGACTTCTCAAATTCTTATCAACAAAAACATAATATTGTATTACATACGTATTATGTATGCGCGTCTCCAAGTTGAGTTCGTGCGATTTTTTTAAAAAAATGTCCCCAATGGTAAACAAAAGCAATTAAGAAATACTGTAAAATATAAATATACCATTCCACGTTTCTGAATACGATTTGTTTTGTAAATATGTATACATGCACGAAACTCGTGAATATCATATGTAAAAACAGGGAATGGCAACTTCTCCCGTATGAAAACGATCGTTTTGAATAGGGTTTATTTGGGCCTTGCACATTTTAAGAGCATATAATCGTCTTCAGAAGTTTTAGAACTGTGCAAACACCGTAATATCCCTTTTTATTTCTATCTATAATGGCTTGTCCCCTGCCTGTACGCTGCAGAAAAGTAGGACGTAAAACTCCATTCATTTCATTTCCCTGTCTGTACGTAGGGCCTACGTCTTGTCGACAATGTTTATAATGGGTAATATGATATGCGCATGAAAAGGTAGAAATGGCCTAACAACTTAATTAAAGTGATGTCAAGTTGAAATATATCCTCTGATTAAGGAAAATTAATTCTTCCTGAAACAATATTATTTATCCATTCTAAACTGGACATTTTAAGAAATCAAAAACGTTTTCGGTCAATTGTGGCTAATTATGAACGAAGACTTGGTCAATGAGGCATTCTATCTGATCACAGAAACCTGTCATTGTTCTAAAACAATTCTCTCTGTTTATCTATCAAATTAAATTGGTAAACTATTAAGGAATGTTAAGGAGTTGAAAAAAGATTTACTTGCCTTTGTGATTAAGTGTCGAAAAGAACTTCCGGTAGATGAATCGCAGTGGCTTATACTACCAGAGCTCAACGACCAATCGTACCTTAGTCTCAGAATTTCTTTTAGCTAAGACAATCAGTAATAGTGTTCACAGCTCACCGTCGAAATTTAAGCGTCGAGGATTATCCGGGTTTGAAAGTTAAAAAGACGAATCTGCCATATATATATAGAAAAGACATCTATAGAAAAGAAATTCCAAGTAGGGGATATATTTGAAGGAATTGTGCAATTTTCGTACATTTCCACTACTTCTGAAGACTATTTACATGTCTAAAATCAAGCCACCAAATTAGTGCATTTACGCGGAGTAGGATTTAGGGGGACATGTATCCAAGAATGTTTGCCCAGTACTTATTAATAGCTTAAAGTTCCACTGTACTGGGCGTCTTTTATCTAAAACATATTTATTAGAACTAACGATCTTATAAAACTAAAGTAGGACAAATTTCCTCGCCCCCTCAGCGGGTGATGTAATCCCCTCTATTCGTAAAATGAGTGAAGCGGAG